TCCCTCCCTGCCTGCTTCCCCTCCCCCCTGCCCCCCCTCCTGCCTGCCCTCCTGCCCTCCTGCCCTCTTGCCTGCCCTCCTGCCTTCCTGCCCGCCCGTCTCTTTGCTACCTGAGTAATCCTGTTCAAATCATAGCCAAGCACAGGGTATTTGCTGAATAGGCGTTGTACGGACAAGCCAGTCTACTGGGAGCATGGACTGGTGGCTTAGCCAGTCTTCTCTCAACGGCCTTAGTGCAATTGCTTGCTTAAGTAATGTTTTTCCTTGGAAATTTTTCATTTCCTCTTTTAAATTTTTTTTTCTTATTATTTTTGGGGCAGTGTTGAGGAGTAAAAGTGGCCCAGAAAGTAAGGAGTGCAAGGAATAAAAAGACTGTAAGGTGTAGTCCTTCTTTTTCAGGTCTCTCACCCTTAGAGAGAAGGATAAGAATGCTATAAGTACTTAGAATAACACAGTTATGCATAAATAAAAGACATTTCCTTTTTAGGGATGGTCCATTACATGAAGAGATACCAAAGGGCAGGTCATTTTACATACTGCAATGGTCAGAGTAGAATAATGAAAAAAGGGCGTCTGGTTGCGCCTCTGGCAGACACCTGCCGTCTACTTTAAAGAAACTTAAATCGAGGTGAGATTTCTTGCTTCTCTGAGATCCTCCCCTGGAAGGGGCGCAGTGACGGCGGCAGCAGCAGCAGCCGTGGGCACGTCCTGCTTCACGCTGCCCTGCTGCCTGCCCTGCGCTGTGCCTAACACCAGCGACCCACGCCAAGGGGTGGGCGGCTGACTGGTTCTTCACGCCCAGTCGGTCCCTATCTCCTTTGTTAATACAGCTGGGTGTTGGCATTTATCTGGACATAAGTGCTGTAAGAGACTGAGCCCGTCATCTCATTTCACATCAAATGGCCAATCTGGGGCAATCCCTAATGTTTCGTTGTAATTCTCGCACACTTGGTGCTTTTTTTCTGAAATTTTCAGCTGCACTTGTTTAAGAAAATGTTTATTTCTAGCCAGGTTTCCCTCTTTTAGTAAACTGGTAAAAATATTTTCACTATTAAAAGAAAAAGCTGTAAGAGAACGTGAACATTTAAGTTGTCACCTACTAACCATATCACACAATGATAGTCACTATGGGAATGAATACTAAAAGCAAGCACAAATGCTACCTGTGCTATGCCTTAGGCAGAGCCCCAGCTGCCACCTGCTTTTGCTTACATAGTGGTGGTGAGAGAAGCTGAGCTGAAAGAAGCTCAAAAAAAAGGCTGAAGGTCTGGCTGAGGTGGTCGTAACTGGAGGGTGAAGAATATGGTTCTTCACCGGAGCTGTTGTGTTAGCGTTAAAGGTTAGGGGTGTCGGGGTACTGGAATGATAGCGAACGTGGAGACCCACACAGACAGGCTTAGATGATTATGGGATTATGAAAGAGCTGATGTGATATATAATATGAGCAGGGCAGAAGAGATACTATGGGATGACACGATTGCCCCAGTCCAGCCACCGTTGCTTCTTTCCCTCCTCCCTACCTCCTTTCTGTAGGGTGGGCACTCAGCCTCCCTGGAGAGAGCAAACGCAACTCAGCCAGGCTGATGAGGTGCAGGGGAGCCGAGATCCATCAAAACCCATGCGGAAAAACACTGGCTAGGAGAGACCGTGCCTTGCCCAGCAGCTGCCCTGCTCCCCTCCGCATGGAGATGGGAAGGAAGGGAGACCGAGAGAGGGGAGGATGGCTGGACCCCGTCAGCCCCGCGTCACGGTGCTAGGTCGCTAAATGTGTTATCCTGCCTCTGTAGAGCACCTCTCTGCTTGGGAGCTGGTGCCCTACAGGGTGAGACACCTGGGCGCAGAAAAGGGGAACTTCAAATATATACATGTAAGTACATTTGTGGGTATTCACACTCACTTTCACTCACACGTAGTTAAATCCCTTGCCCCCCAAACTAGTCATTGTAAACCGGTCTGGGAGAGTGCAGGAGCGTGGCTCCTGACCCACCTTGCTTGGTGGCGGCAACGGGGCCAAGGGGACTGTGCCCATCTAATCGGGACTGCACAAGAGGTGACACCCCGCCCGATGCAGGGGCAGGTAGGTCAGGGCTATTCCTGTGCCGTGTTACCCCCATGCACAGCTTCTGCCTGAAGCCCTAGCCAGGCCCTTCTGAGGAACCTGCAGTTACGCATTTAATATACCAGGCAGTTTCAAATAATCCACTTAGGTCCAGCATTGAATATACAGAGTAAGTCATAAAGGAAAAATGAAACTGATAAGAAATGATATAAAATATATGCCAAGGCCCTTAAGTTGCTTGGGTCACGGTAACACAAACATCAGATTTATGTATTCTAATGTAGACACATAAAACCGTATGCTGTTTCAGTACATTAATTCAGTTACTGGCTGCAGGACACTACACAGGACTTGTGTTATACCTACGTTAGTGGCAAAATAAAGAATTCACTCACACAACTAACACATTAAAATATACCTTAATTTTAATAATGTTTGCAATGATAAAATTCCACGCGGTAGACACATATGTTGGTTGATAGCTAAATTAAAACTTTTCCGGGGGTGGTGGTATACCACAAATTCACACTTTCACAATAATAAATGAAAACACTGCAGAGAGGAGTGAGAAGTCCATTCCATAGAAGTGGAAAGGATGCAAATTGAAGTTAAATGTGCTGATCCAACACAGCTAATTTTAAAATTCGTCCGAGCCTGACGGATAATGACATTGTGGCAAGCAATAGGTAGGCTGTAGTCCTATGGACATAGTGCACTTCATCTTTAAACACTGCAGCATTTCTCTTTAAACACTGCCAGTCCTTCCTTAAAAGCCAGAGACTACTCACAGGTATGACTTTATTCATGTGTATGCATATTGCAGATTAGGAACTCAAGTCTGTAAACCAAATTGTGCCACGAATAGTTTGTTCTTGCCCCCAAATACTTACATTGCTTTCATACTATTTATTTGTTATTTTGGCAGGGATCAAGCAGTCGTTCAGGTAGCTGAAAGAAAGGTCAATTATTATTAGGTTACAAAAGTACATAGTAGAGCCTACAAAAGGCGATGCTGGATTGGGACCGTCTTCCCACAGCCTTGATCTGGCTAACAGTTGTGAGGTGCTGTTCCCATGAGACAGGAGCATTATTTTTGTGTTAAATTAAATCTTGGTGGCAGTTAGCAGAGGCAGCCAGGAGAAACGATGCCGAGTTCAGCGCAGAGCTTTCGATGACTCTGGGAATCGTGCGCGGGGGGAGAACAGGCTTGTTGGTAAGCTAGCCCTCTTCCACGGTTATAGACGACCCTTCCGTCATAGACAATTGCGTGGCTTCTTTGCTGATTTGACTGTCAAATATTAAAATAATAAGTCTGCGATCTCAAAGCATGTTTCCTTCTCCTTTTCACTTTTTTTTTTTTTCTTAACCTGAGTTGCCTGTGAACTTTTGGTCGGGGCTGCTTTTACCTCGCTCCTGGCCCAAGGATGAAGGCAGCCGGCTCCCGCCCTGCCGCGGACAAGGGGCTGTAGGGTTGGGTTTATTTTTTTTTTTTGGGGGGTGGGTGGGTGATGTCTGCCAGCCCACCCAGCAACCCACGGGAGAACAGCCGTGGCCCTGCCGGGGGTGGCTTTACCGGGCGGCCTGGGACCCAG